ATATAAATAAATATATTTTCAGACAATCAAAACTGTATTTACTACCAATGGGTGTGCTCTAAAGGAAATATTAAAAGTAGTTGTTTGGGCCAAAGAGAAAAAAAAAACATTGCAGAAAGACTGAAGATGTAGTAAGAAGAAGTAAAAGGCAATGGAAAGAAAAATTTGTGAGTATATAAAAATTATTAATACAGATGTCACAAAACAATGTTTCGTGGATTTGAAAAACACCTATCAAGACACACACGTTGTTGTGGACCAGCGGGTCAGAACCCTATAGCTGACCCTCCAGTGGGTTTTCAGAAGCCGTAAACTGCACGCGATGGGACTGCCCATCCTTCCCCTGTGGAGCAGCTGGGGGATTAGAACTGTGAGCCTTTGCGTTAGGAGCACAACTCCTTACCACGAAGGCACCAGTGCTCCAAAATACACGCAGATGATTTAGATGTCCCTGTGCTGACCAAGAAATGGGAAAGGTGCTCATTCATATTCAAACAAAAAATCTCAGACTCACTGAGTGACACCAACTGCCAGCTACTCCTCTAGCTGGTTTTCAGAGGCTGCTAAGAACACGGAAGGAACTGCTCATCCTCCTCCCCGGGGGCCACTGGTGGATTCCAGCTGCCCGAGAGATGCTGCCACCTTCAGGCTGCCATTCCCCTCCTGACCAAGCACGTCACCACGGCCCTCTCAGTCACATCAAGGCGAGTGCTGTGCTCTCTAAGATAATCCCTTCTTCTTCTTGGGATCATTATTTGCTACTGAATTGGCTCCCAACTGATGGCAACCGCACAGACAGTGCCCACTGCTGGGGGCCCAGTGCTCTCACTGCAGAAGGGAGAGCTGCGAACCCCCGGGATTTCCTGTCACCACTGAACTCTCGAGGCCACTGCCAGGCCTTCCCCATGCACCTGACTCTACAGAATTAGAAATCTGGCAGGAAGGAAAAAGGGCTCTTTGGTAATTCAGTGAGCTATGTATGTAATATTTATGTACTTGTTTATACACACAATTTAGTAAAAGAAAGAAAATGATTTACTTTACCACATACTGATTTTAATTTGGGTCTTTCACTTGTACTAACATAAGCTTTCCACATTAATAAGTACTCTTCAATAATATTTAATGACATTGTGATGATTTTATTAGAGTATCACATTTAATCTAAAAAAATCTTTACAGTTAAGACATTAAAATCGTTATGGTCTTTGTTTCCCTCGAGAGGGACAACATGCTTGGAAAGGTGGAGAGTAGGAGAGATAGAGGAAGGCCCTTAGCCAGGAGTCCTGACAGAGTGTGTCAGAGATGGGAGGACGGCCCAGGACAGGACAGGTTTCACTTTCGTTGTTCATAGGGTTGTTGTGGGCTATACTCGACTTGATGGCATCTAACAATAACAATAATGTAAATGAAATATTCAATAAGGCAATTTCATTGTAACATCTTTGAGATAAGACTTTTACCTACCTTTCAGTGCCATTTTTCAGTCTCAAAATGAATGATTCTTTTTTTATTTTAATAATTTTAATGAACATTTAGAAAGATTTTGGATTTCCATTCATTCATTGCTGCACTTCTCTCCCCGCCCAGCCCCGGGTCCCGACCCCCAAGTTCGCTCCTCTCTTTGAAAAGTAAAAGAAAACCTCCCTGGTACACAATCCCCCCACATCCCTCCCACCGCCCCAAGTACATTCCACTATGCAACCTTAATTGTAAATATCCATTGTTCAATCTACAACCAGGAGAAGATAAAATAGATGAATGACATCTTCTAATCATCAAATCCCTATGCACATCCAAAAACTTCTCCAACAAGGTAAAAAGGGAAGCCACGGACTGGGAAAAAGTATTTGGTAATGACATATCAGATAGAATTTATAAAATACTTGAGCACCACAACAAGATAAAGGTAAAAAAGGGCACAGGATATGAAAAGACACTTCACCAAAGAAGACATTCAGATGGCCAACAAGCACATGAAGAAATGTTCAAAATCCCTACTTCTAAGAGTGATGCAAATCAAATCAACTACGAGATATCATCTCACCCCAGTAAGAATAGCAAAATTTAACAGAACAGCAAGCAACAAATGCTGGCGAGGTTGTGAACAAACTGGAACCCTTATTCACTGTTGGTGGAAGTGTAAAATGGTGCAACCACTGTGGAAGGTGGTGTGGCGCTTTCTCAAAAAGTTGCAAACAGAGATAACATTTGACCCAGCAATTCCACGACTGGGAATATACCCCAAAGAGACCATAACTGACATCCAAGCAGATATATGCACACCCATGTTTATCATGGCTTTGTTCACAATGGCAAGGAGTTGGAAACAACCTAAGTACCCATCAAAAATCGAATGGATAGAGAAGCTGTGGTATATTCACACAATGGAATACTACACAGCATTGAAAAACAAGGAACTCATGCAATATTATTCAAAATGGGTGACCCTGGAGGACATTATGCTGAGTGAAATATCTCAGCCACAAAAGGACAAATACTGCATAGTGCCACTGTTGTAAAATAGGACTGACACTGGGGTTGAGGGGAGACGGAGAAAGATGGGATAAATAATGTATACTGCATTGAAACAGATGAGGGAGAAAACTGTTTAAAAGGGATACGTAATTAGGTATTTTTGTCATGACAGGAGTCCAGAGCGAAGGCTGCATAGTGGAGTGGTCCTGGGGGGAGGGATTGTAAAACAATGAAAGAATTTTTCTTTTACATTTCAATGAGAAGAGTGTACTGGGGTGGGGAAGGATGGGCAGGGAGAATAGTGCAGCAGTGAATGAATGGAAATCCAAAGTGTCTAAATTTTCATTAAAATTAGTAATAATAAAAAAAAATATCCATTGTTCAACATGAAGGAAATGAAAATCCTCACAACTGGACCAATAAACAATAATCATGTTAAACACAGAAGAGTCTGAAGTTGTAAAGGATTTCATTTTACTTGGATCCATAATCAACACCAATGGAAGCAGCAGTTAGGAACCAAAGGACACAAGGCACTGGGTAAATATGTTGCCAAGCACCTTTTAAAGTGTTAAAGAGCAAGGTTGTCACTTTAAATACTAAGGTATACCTGGCCCAAGTCCTGGTATTGTCAATTATTTCTTATACATATGAATGCTGGAAAAAGAGTAAGGACAAGTGAAGGAAGAATTCGCCTTGGGATTGTGGTGCTGGTGTAGAATACTGGAATCAGAGAACGGCGTGATCCTTGGGCACAAGGCTGGTGAGACAGCCTCATATATTTGGGGCTATCAAGCTTAGAAAGTAGAGGGTCAAAGAGAGGAAGACCCTCAATAAGATGGATTAGCAGAGTGACTTTAACAGTGGGCTTAAGCACAGCTGAAATGATGGGGACGAGCAGGACTCAGCAGCTTGTTTTGTCATTCACAGGTCAGCAAGGGCTGGGGCCAACCTCACATCACCCGCCAACAAGCACAGCTTCTCTCTAGAGCAGGAAGAATTGTGAACTTGGGTCTCTTGTTGGACATATCATCTCATTTACATGAAATGCGGCTACATCTGTCCACAACCCTGAAGAAATTATCTCACAGAAACAAAGAAAATATGAATATGAATAGCTTTAAAGAGTATGTGAAACTGATGAAATTCCAAATGTTGCAGAGACTACTTGTTTACAGAAAATCACAGCTTCTGTCCTCGGTAGATCCTTCACGGCCAGTGCAAATGCTGCTTCCTTCAAGGACTGGGTGTCAATGGTGATGCACCCCAGACACCTGTTGACCTTGATGACAAAACAAAGCCTAGGCCAGTGATACACAATCCAGATCTAGTCTCTTGAGAGCAGCATTCTTTTGTGTGTTTCTTTAAAGGCTTTTCAGGTGATTCTAAGACACAGGTAATAAGTACTGAGAACAATGAGAATGGACTCTTAAGGAAAAAAGTACTTGCCTGCAGAGGTTGAAACACACAAGGCAGTAAGTCATCCTCCAGGTGCTGAAACACATAAACACATACCTGTGCTTGTACGTCCCCTTTCTCAGCCAGAAACTGGTAATACTGAATCAGATCTTCCTCCAGCATTCCACTGTTCATGCCGGGATTCTCCACCTCATCAGGCAGCCGTATTCTCTGTACTACTGAGCCTCCTGTCAGTGAGATATCACTAGCAACTGGAACAGGGAAACAAAGGCGCCACATGAGGAAGAGTCAGAAAGAACATCTCACAGGAAACACAATTCCAGCTACAAAGTACTGTCAGTGAGACTTAGACTTTAAAGAGTTTCCTGCAGGCTACAAAAGAGCTGTTAAAGTCAATCAGGCTTCTTCCAAAAAAAATTTAAGTAACAGTCAAAGCAAAATTAGGACTGGGGGAAAAAGAAGTTGCTCTTTAATTAATTAGCACAAAGATAATTCTATTTAAAAAGGGACATTCAAGATAGTTTACACTGTACAATAAAAATTTTTGCTGTTGTTGACTGCTGTCAAGTCAAGCACAACTCACAGAGACCCTATGAACAAAATGCCTGAAGCCTTTCTAAAGTTCATAGTTTCCAGAGACATGTTGTTTAGGAAGTGGATGCCACTCCTGCATGGCTTAAATGAGTTCTCTAATTTTGGTCATAAAGGTAAAAGAGAAAAATTAGATACCATGATTGGCCACAAGGCGGTAATGGGTCAGAGCAGATTCACAACTTTGGAGGACTCCAATCCCAGCCCAGTATCGGTAACCCTGCAAAACAAACACAGGTGAGAAGACAGCAAGGTCACATGCTTCAGCAGAATTCTTCTAGCAAAGAGCCAACCAGGATCAAAACTGTGCTGCCCAAGTACCCTAACATCTTATTAATCCAGAATGGTTACGTGTTTACATAATTTATTTAGCAACTTCAGCAAGATACGAAGTTGGGAAAAACAGTAGAATTCCTAGAGCAACCAAAACAGATGCCATGGACTTTATAAAAGAACCAGGCACATTTTTTCCATTACGTAGGCTCTCACTTTGAACTGACTGTGATCTTGTATTAAACATAATTTGAACAAAAATGGGTTAAACACCTTAGCAAAGAAGAAACAACAACTCAGAAAAATGCAAAGGTAAGAGGATACTAGACACAACCACAACACCAGCAACAAGTAACTTCAGAATAAGTGAGAAGACAGCTAATAGCAAAAAGAGCAGAAGATGGCAAGGAGAGCCCTTAAGCACAGCCCTTTCATTTTTATTTTTTCAGAGGAGACAGCATGAATGCATTTCCCTACTATCACATATTATGCAGTTAAGTTTCCCCTATTAGGGGAAATTGTAGGATTGCCCACATTTGGGGAAATGCAATGGATAAGCCTAAACCTGGGAAGACCACCTTTGTGATTATGATATCTCCCCTGGCAGGGAGAAAAATAACGCGGGTTATTTTAAACTCAAGTAATTCCACAACCTTTCACTGCACCATGAGAGTTTCTACAATTTAGTAACATGGGTAACATCTGGTGTTCTTAAGAATGGTGGTTCTTGTGGTTGTTATGTGCCACTGGGTTGCCTGCGACTCATAGCGACCCTATTTACAACAGCTCTGAACCCTGTTCTACCCTGAGCCAATCTTATTGTCTCTGACACACCTACTCTTATTATCTCAGTCACTGAGTCAATGCATCTCATTGAGAATCTTCCTCTCTTGAGCTGTCCCTCCACCCTCTCGAGCATGATGTCCCTCTCTAAGACAACATGTTCAAAGTATGTCAGAAGAAGCTTCAATATCCTTTCCTCCAAGGAGAAGCCTGGTTTCACCATCTCTAGGGTGAACCTGTTTGTTCTCCTGGCAGTCCATAGTATATCCAATACTCTTCTCAAGCACCACAGCTCAAAGGCATCAATTCTCCTTCTGTCATCCCAGTCATTGTCCAGCTTTCTGATGCATAGCAAGTGAATGCAAAGACCATGCCTAGTCTCCAGACTGATACTGGTGCTCTTCATTACTCTGGAGAAGTCCTTAACAGCAGACTTTCCGAATGCAATTTGTCAAGAAGACAAAGATTCTCACCACTGGACCAACTGGCACCATCAGGATGGATGGTGAAGAGATGGAGACTGTTCACAGCTTTAGTTTGCTTGGCTCCACAGTCAACACTCTTGGCACCAGTAGCCAGGAA